CTCGCCCCCCCAGCACCACAGGCGACATCACTAAAGGACATGCCATCCTCCATGACAAGAGAATCATACTGATGATCACGAAAACACTGACAAGATCCGCCTTGCTTTACTTTTTGTCCTGAACCTCCCGCCGCACTCTTCGACTTGCTTTCGCTTTGCCTCTTTTCTTCTCCGGGGCTGAATGCTGCTCTAGCTCGACCCGTCTTCGCTTGACCTCATTCTTTCCCAGAGCCCTCCGCCAATCCAGTTCAAATTGCTTTCACCTTGCCTCTTTCTTATGTTGACCTAGCTGCTGCTCTAGGCGCTTTCGCTTGATCTCTGTCGTCTCTGTCTTTTCATGTGCTGTCCGGATTTATCACACCAGTAAGAAATCGTATCTATTCCGACGTGGACGACCGCTATTGGGCAAGGGAGATCGAGCGATGATCACCAGACTCAAGTGAGGCTGCCAATGATTTCCTTGATGCCTTGACAGCTCGTGCAGGTTTATTTTTGTCGCTGTATACTCATCGTTGCTTACCGCTGTACCTACACATCGTTGACGATACAAAGGTCGTAACTAGGTCTACACCGGGATTTGTGATTACATTTCGATTTCAGGTTGATCTTACAATCAAGATGAACGCCGAAATGCAGTGCAAGCACGAACTTTTGAAGGGTCTTTCAAGGGAAGTGACCTAAGGTAGCAGATGGTCAGTCATTAATGAGTGCAGAATCTTCGAGTCGGGAAATTTCACCGACCTCGCCATACGCACAAAAGCGAAACAAAATGAAGTTCACCGTGCCATTGTCTGTTGCCAATCTGATGTTTTGTCCCGCATGTGTTTGTCACCTTTCAAGGTAAGCCGAGGCCATACGTCCAACAGGAGAAAAAAATCTTGATAGTTGTTGGTCTAGGAAAGACAGTCTCAGATTATTGAATTATGCCGACCTCCACCAGACTCCGTCGCCTGAAAATGATGAGGCAGGGAGATTGGAGTACGTCGATAAGCCACCCTACCAAGCTAAACTGTCAACCGCCATCGATGGTGGGCACCCTGTTCGACGCTTGGCAAGTAGGCACGGCAGCGACAATTTCGTGAACTATTCATCCATGTCCATGAAAGAGAAGATTGAGAATCGGCGCACCGGGAAGCCACGCAATCCCTCTGAGGTCCCAGAGCGGACAGTGGTGGTCTCAAGCGCATCATCTCAACTCCACTGTTCTCAGTCGGGAGCTACGGAAGTATCCGACACTGGCCAAGCGTCACCCGGTCTTATCGATGGTACCGAAAAAGGAGCAAATGACAATGTACAACGACCGGCCTATTCGGAAGCCTCGATAAACGATGTTCAGGCTGTAGGGAGTGACGAGGACCGAGACAGCGTCGACTCAACCCCGGGACGGTCAGTAGCCCGCTTGCTTGGACAGCATATATCACTCCTCGAAGCCAAAAGCAATGATGTGCGGGAGGGCAAACGGCTATTTCTGGCAGCGGATGATGACCAACAAGGCACACGAAAAAAGAGGAAATGCAATATAACGATCGAGATTCCACCTCGACCAACTGATTGGTGGGTCTGGGAAAAGCTTGTTTCTCCGACAGAGAATCGAGGCTCGATGACGTCTTTCCAAGCCGTCGAGATCCACCCGAAAAGCGACCCCGAGGAAGACCGAAGGCGCCAACCAAAATGGACGCCCCGAAAGGCTGAAGCGACCACGCGGTAGACCGCAAGGGTCTCGCAATAAGAATAGACGCTCCAACTACGAGTAGTATAGCTAATGTGATTACGTATATTCGAACTCGAGACACACCCGTAAAACACGATACGATATAGATCATAAAGGGGCGGATTATGGCCTAGTAAGCCGAAAGCTTTCCTTTCGTCATCTCTATCTCCCTCGCAGCTAAATGGTTACGTTGAAGTCTTGGCATAAGTTTGTATAGAAACCCTTACCAAATATGCTATGTTTCGAGAGAAGATTTCTCACAACCTTGATAAGTATATTATCTATATAATATTGAAAACTTTGGGACAGTACGTTGTCTCAGGTCAACTATACTAGTAATTCCAAGGGATCAAGTAAGCCGTGCTCGTCTAAGGGGTTTACTATCCACCAAGAACTCAATCTCGCATAGCCTCTAATAGGTGAACCTAGAACTCAACAAAAGAATCAGTCAACGCCCGCGCACAAACACATTCAGGGCCACCACACGCCGGGCACGTGAGACCGGGCCACCAACGCGTTCCCATTCCTGACACGTTAATCCATGTAAACTCCTCGAAATGTTCTGCACACAGTTTACAGTCTTGGTTAGTCGTAGCTTCCGGTACCTGTTGGCAACATCTTGGAAGGTCTAGCCCAGCCGTTACTGGTAACCCGTTATCTTCTGTAGTATTGGGAGGGCCTTCGATACCCCACTGGTCCACTGGCTGATGATTGTAAAAACAGTCATTGCCCGTCTCAGGTGCACCAGGGTCCTGGTCAAAAGTCGTTTGAACATCGTTGATCGCATTCTCAGGTTGTTGTCGCTGCTCGAGTTGATTCCAGATATGGCGGCCGTCCTCTCCAAGCCGTGTAGAAGCCACCTCTGTCGCCGCGACGGTAGGTACTTCGGCCCTCTGACGCTTTGCACCGTCTGCTTCTCGTTTCTGCTCTTTATCCTGGCCACTGTCGGTGTAGAGTTCCACTTCAAAATCTGCTTGCCTTGTTTTGTGGCACTGCAATTGCTGTGTGGCGGTATCCAATACCAACTTCACCTGCTTTAATTCTGCCCTAGATGTAGAAAGGAGCTCCCTGGCATGTGCTTGGCTTTCACTGAGTTGTTTCTGGAGCGACGAGACTTCGCATTTGTGATTGGTGATGGTTCGTCGAGCTTCCACCAGCTCTTTTTCTCTTGAGCTATAAGTGGTGGCTTGCTCTCTCATTTGTCGACAGACTTCCGTGAATTCCTTCTCCACTTGTTCTTTCGTGGCTTTGGTACACAACAGCTCTTCTGCAGTTGATTCTGCGGCACGCTGGGCCTGTACCAGATTCTGATTGGTCGCTGATAGTTGCTGCCTGTAACTGTGAAGTGTCTGCTCAGCCGCTTGGTCTCGCACCTGGAGACGTCGCTTCATGGTTGCGAGCTCGCTGGTCTGACTAGTCACAGTTTGTTCCGCTGCCATGAGATGCCTCCTGAGCTCGGTGATCTTGCTTTCTTGCTCCATATTTTCGCGTTTGGCTCCGCTTAACGCTTGCTCCGTCAAACCAAGTTTTTGGCGATTCGCCTGGAGTTGCTGCAGGTAATCCTCTGGTTGACGCGCAATGCTTTGATACTGCGCTGTTGATTTTCGCTCCCTAGCTCGGTACCACTCCGAAGGTGTACTAGGCTGGACTTCAGAGTGACGGACGCGACGTAGACCCTTCCGCCTCCGCTTCGGTTTCGACATTCTCAACTCGAGACTGGTTTGAAGGGATATCGTGTATTCGATAAGCTTCTCCTTCGTGGCACTCTGGAGATGGGTTTCCAGTGTAGAACGGTCAGCGGGAAGCTCACAGCCTAATTGTCTCGAGAGGACCTTATTCCAGGCGCGAGCAGGATACTCATCATCTATAAGTGAGGAGATTCCAATAACGAGCTCTTCCTCATTGTACTCCTCCAACTTTTGTCGTGTTCTGGTAGGTTTCTGTTTGCGATCCATGAGGAAGAGAAGGTAAGGAAGATAGGAGAAAGGAGGAGAGTGGGCGGCATGACCCCTTTAAATATAAGTACTATTAGTGCTTTGTGATCACGGGTGCATTCTTTTCTTGTCTTAATCCCTGTCATTGCCCATCATGCCAATGCCGCTGAGGTGGGTGGGAGCAAGGATTACGTTGTAGACCATGCATCCTAGTCTCTAAGCCCCGTCTCGTCGCGTCTCACCTTTCCTCTCAGTCTCTCCAGATGATGACCTTCTTACGCCTTCTCAGGTGTGCCTTCCTGTGGTTTCTTCGCTGCTCACACGCATATCTCTTCCTCTAAGATCTAAAACAGAGCCAGAGGACTACTATCTCCTCTCTTCTGAACTCATATTGCCCCTTGGCCCGTAAGAGCTGGTCGCACTCCTCAAGAGGGCAGGCTCTCGTAGCCCTGCGATCGAACAGCGCGCTGGTTCGGTTAGGACAATCATCCAATGGCAGAAATAGCTCACCATTGCTATATCAGTCGAAATGGAAGCCGTCAAAGGCCGAGCCATTAGCCACGCGGAAGCTGCGATGTCCTAGACCGCCAAGCGGTACCTCCTTGGGTAATCTCTGGTTATGTGTGTATAGGCTCATGGCTGTATGTTACACTATCCTCTTCGAGTGTTGTTTAGGGACGTATAGCGAGCAATGAGCTGGAAGAGCGAGCAATCAGCTGGAAGAGAAGAAAGAATCGTAGAGCCATGCTAAAACACCATCAAGATATCGGGCCCCCAGGAAGAGCTATAATCAATTCACTGTTCGCGCTCTCTACTCATTAGTAATAGGTCTGCTCCACTATTTTCTGCCGAGTAGAAGCATGGTTTACGCGGTGGCGAACCTTATTCAGACTAGAAGATCAAAGTAGGTATCAGAGACTGATCGTTCGACTTTGGCAGCCAATCCGACTGATAAGGGGCCTGGTCAGCAGGTGTTCTGATTCGAAAGTGGACCTGGGGCTCGAAGATGATCCAATCGTCTTTGAAATTAACTATACTAACCGATTTTGACTTATACTGGCAAGGATGTTGGCTGCTACTGAGGCTGTTGAACTTCTAATGAATCTGCCTTGCTTCGTAGCCTGATAGACAATCTTATCATTCTGGGGATAGGTAACACTCATTCTTTGCTTGGTAAATTCCTAGTTTAGAAGGATAAAGAAAAGTGTGGCTAGTATTTCACTGTCCCTCTACCGGTTACCACCCAAACTTTTCCTCAACAAAATCTAAATTTACACCTTTATCCAGCATCAGTCTTGAAACACGCCTGACTTCATCGGCCAGTCCTCCACTTGAACAAACACTTACCCCCATGCATCCCAACTTCTCAGCAGCTTCTTGCCTCATCAAGGACTCGATATCCGGCCTGCCCTTTGACACTCGAATGGTTCCGCCGGAGCTTTGTACGCATTCAGTCCAGCGGGCTCGAGTGACATATACAAAAGGTTGCAATACTTCGCTTCGACCTTTCATAACTAGGATCTCTCGTAACCATGATCGGATCCAATAAAGGCAGCCAGTGCTAGGAATAACCCATACTAATGTGATTCTCTTGGTTGCCACAATTTCTAGGGCGTAGCTTAGGATAAGTGTCCTTATATATTCAAGATGATAAGTGATTCCTACACCTCCAGCAAAGAGGATCATTATCCCGTAGCTAGACAAATCTCGTGTTATACCGTAAGGTCCTTCGATAAGGGCAATGGTATGAAGAGGCCCATCCGCCTTTATAGCTCGGCGCCAGAGCTTTTTAGTCAGCCCGGATCGTGTCCTGATAATCAGGAACATGACTTTCTCTTTGGAAGTCTCGGAGCGGTAGAGGGTCTTCTGATCGAAGTATTGCCCTCCAACGCATTGTGAACCTGTTGACAGGGTCGAATCTAAAGCTCCAGCTTCTCCAGACCACGCGACCGAAAATGGGTGAGCTGTCCATAGACCAACGGACGGAAGGGTTAGGTACAAATATTGACCGGGTCTGAAGCTCCAGGGACGCGGACATTTGATGGAGATTCGCAAGACATAATGTGGTAGAATCTCGACATCCGCTGTAGTAATCTTGCTGCCCAAGCTCCGATACAGCAAGGTGAGTAGTCGAAGACCACGAAAGCCCCCCCAGGTTACGGCCGCTCCTATCACCAAGGCTTTTCGAGGCAAATCCTCGAGGTGCCTGTAAAGACATGCCAACACCAAAACCGCCAACGCGATATGCAGATGCAAGAATAATTCATACGCTAAATGCCTTGCAGCCTTCGAACTCTGCAGCAAGGTGACCGTGAATCCGAGAGCGGCAGTTAAGCCGCTGTAAATAAAAGGCTTGTGGGTGGCGGACAGCATGGCTGCCCAGCCTTCGGATTCTACCTTGACTATCAGCCAGCAGGTGGCATGGGCAAGGGCCTCAAGGACCGCTAAGCGTCCCAGCCAGCGATGCATCATGTTAAATGTGGCGTATGAGATGTTCAGTAATGATATCAAGGGATCCCTCATAGAAGATAGAACCATGATTGGAAGGAGATTCGCCACGCAGAGCGTTCCCGCACGGTTTGCGGATGCCTTCAACACTTCTGCATTGGAGTGGATCCACGGTAATTTCCACGTGAGGTAGAATCCATTGGCCGCTATGAAGATAAGTATGATTGCGACTTCAATGCGCGTAGGTAGACATCCTAGAACAATCCACCGACCCAAGGCGATTTCTCGGGCTCTTCGATTGCGAAATATAGGGGCATAAAGTAGTCTGGCTTTTAGGAAGGAGATACTAGGAGATCCGGAAGAAAAGTAGTGCCGTGATCCTCTCGCACCATCGATCGACACTAGAAACCGCATATGAACAGTGGCTCTTTGAGTGATCCTATAGGCCAAGAAGACTCCAAGTATCCCTAGTATGGCCCAGATATAATAGTGCGACAAAGAATAGTTGAGGTCGTCCAGGATCCTTTTGTCGATATCGGCGTCTTCCCCTTTATTGTAGTCAACCGAGACAGCTTGTGCCACTAGAATGAGTTGTAGAGAGAAGGGGGAGGGGAAAGTAAATCTGGTCACACGTGTGGTTGAAAGCATTGTATTTGAACCGTCGTCTCACTTATTATTCAACGAGCGACGTCGATGTTACTACTAGAATATATTAAGCTAACCCGATGGCCTTTATACTGGAGATGTTCAGCACACGAAATTTACACTACCTAGACTCTAAGGTACTGTATCATCTTAGTAATGTCGTAGGATTTCCTGACGCATCAGCGAAATATAGGATAAGATCGTTAAGATCCAAGCTTCCTACTCCCACGATTTCCATTGTGACTTTACCTTCGTACTTAATTTTATGGTAGTTCCACCTACTACTGTAGACTCGGAGGGATACAACCCTATTACCGTGGTTCCCAAAACTGCCCTCCCCTTTGTAGACACGTTACAACTTTCTGCCACTGTAAGCTAAGGACTAGCTGGGGTCGCGCTTTGCCGGATATGGAATAATTTACTCCGGGTTATCATCCAATCCTTGATTAATTATCATCGCCTTGGCATTACATGTTTTGTATGGCTCGTTGTAAAGACCCTTATTGTATTTAAAAGCATGAAACTCTAAAATCTGCGTCAGCGAGCAGCGCAACTGGAAAGTCACGTGCTTCCCACCCCGCGTTCGGGGCGAGGGGCTCCTACGCGATGGGGATCGCACATCGCTACTGGGTTCAAAATCCTGGAGCTTGTATCAGCCAAGCTGACATATCGCGCAAAGTCGAGAACAGTCAACCCGCCTTCAAAATGGCTGAAGACCTACCTCTGCTGCCTGATGGGGGTCTAACTCCCTCGGAACCGTCCCACGTCGACATTGCCCCGGGCCTCAGCACGAGCCAGCTGATGCGGCTTTATCTTTCGCACTTTCTTTCCACGTGGAATTCTCGATGTTATGAATTTGCTGCTGTGGGTAACTTTCCCTAGTTGATTTTCTTTGTGCTGGATAAGTGATGCAAATAGGAAAGAAGATACTCTTCACTGCGACGGCGTATCCGGGAACTCTTACGGTGTCCTCTATTCGGTATGCCCCTTAACGGGCTCATTTCGTCAGCCTCTATTCTGAACAATCGATAGCGGTCTCTTAGCCAATCTATCTGCCATGATCTTAACGTCATCTATCGGTCGGTGGGCTGATAAACATCCATCTCGACTACAAACGCTGCAGTTGAGGAGCCTGAATGTCACTGGAACAACACACAGTCCCAGAACCCATCGTTCTACAATGCGAGTTTTGCGAGCTCGGCATTAAACGCAAAAGGAACTGCAACCGCACATGGGGATTCAGCATGGCCGCCATTATGAGCGTACCAAAGGCAAACCAACAAACCCTCGAACACCTAGGCATGGATTGGGAGGATTTCGACTAAATGCCTCACGTATTGACAGGCTAGCCATCATCTTTCCCTGTGTAGGGGCTAACTGCATTCTGCAGTTGGGGGTTCGGAACCGTGAGGTGGGACAAACCACTGCAAAATAACGAGCTCGAGGAGGATTATCCTGAGGTCGTAATGAAAAGGGTCGATCGCCCATGGACTTATTCACCTTTGCTCAATCTTCAAGTTCTTCCACGGGTCAAAACAGTCGATTCATGTATATACCGCTTACAGGCGCAATTCCTCGTCGATGCATACATATCCTCATTTCTCCTCAGGCCAGCTCCAAAGCACATAAGCACTGCCGTACCTGGCCGGGTCATCCCTTCATCCTCCAGTAAAGCTTCCCTCGGTGAGCCATGAGCGACGCACGAACCACTCCGCTGTGACTTGGTGTCTGATCTTATCCAGCTCGCGGCATGGGTGCATTCATCCTGTGGCCAGCAAACAAGCAACGTCGCGGACGCCGCAGTTCTCGACAGCCCGCATCTTTGTAGTTTCTTCTCAATGCAACCACCCGCCGAGCCCCTCCGTAGTAAAGATGACTTCAGTAGTTCCTCGCACATGCCCCGATGTTTGCCCAGCCAGTCTCGAAGAGTTCAGCGTCGCCTCCGGACCCGTAGTTGTGGCGTAGATGGAGGCAATAAACTGTCTTTGTTTCCCTTCTTTTGATCATCCCATAACTTCGGTGAGGATACGACAGCAGTCATAGGACGATCGTCACTCTCTCCCTCGCTCTCGGTCCTCCGGAAGGGCGCATCCTCTGAATCGCCCTGTGGCAAAGCGAGCTCGGCCGAGGCGCAGGCCCCAAGTCACCATCGCCGCGGCTCAGTGACTTTGAAAAGGCGTGATCAATGTAGACCCACGATCAATGTGGTTGGGCCGAATGCTTGGCACACCAAGATGAGTAAAACTGCCTGCATCTGTGCGCATCTCGCCCTCCTCTGGGACCAGAGTGATGCTGCCCTGCGCTCACCCCCGGCTTGCCCGAGCCGGGTGAGTCTACCCATCATAGGAGCCTCCAAGGCTCCGAGCTTTTTTCAAAAGCAGCGTCGCTGGGTCTACGCTTTCAGAGCCGTCGAGAAGGCTCAGTTGAGGGTATGATTAATCTATATAGATAGTGCTTTGGCATGACTAATCGCGCAGGAACAGAGACTTGCATTTTACTCGACGGTGTCTATTCAGTGCTAGCATTGGGTCCGACACATATCGACATCGGGGCCAGGAGCAGTCATTCGCAAACGGGTAAAATAAGACCTTCCTTTCCCAAGCAAGTCCAGTTATTGAATCTGTATGACTGAATAGTAGGATATATTTGGTGAGCCCCAGTGACTGAGTCCTGATACTCCGTACCTTACATTTGATGGTTCCCAGTCAACTCTATAGTCGTCACAAGCAGTCCGGTCCTGCCACCCCTTACCCAGGGTACCTATCGTGCATTCTCTCATCCCTGAATCATCAAGTAACCACTGGCACCTAGCCAGTAATCCAAAGCCACATGAAGATTCTCACAGCCCAGAGCCTGTTGAGTCGAAAGTCATGATAATGCGCAACACTAGCCTGCCCGTCTCCATACCTCTGTAGCTTGCTCGGTGGTTTGTAATTCGAAATTAACATCTGTTTGTACTCTTTCCATCCTGGTCCGTAGGTTGCTGTTGTTCTCACGAAACCTTCTTAGTCGGTCGCAGATGAGCTCCTGGTTATAAACAGAACTAGACACGGCATCCACATCAACGCCGAGCGTCGCGAGAAGGGTTCTCCTGTCGTGTTCTGGCAAGGTGTCATCTAGCCGCTTTTGCATAACCTGGGCACAGAACACCGTCACAATGGCTTTTCGGGCCTGATTGGCGCATCTGTCTAGCTCCTTCATGGTAATGTCAACTGCGCAATATTATCAGCTTTGTGATCATAGCTCATGAATGATGGGCATGGACTCGTATTGGTATTGATATCCATGCAGCTTCGTCACATGGTGATTCACATAGAGCTTCAAGATAGGAAAATTGGACGGAAGGGAAATCTTACATTCTCTTACTCTGTCCTTCTTGCCGAAGGCTTTCCCACGTTCTATATCCCACACCTTGTGCGCACCGGCGCCTGCAACACCACCCCCTACACCTCCAGCCGCTCCGCCGAGACCGTACGCACCGACTGCGACCCAGCCGGCAGGGTTCCACCACCAAAAGATGGCCACTGCGGCAAAGACACAGACCCTAATTGCGCCCGTGGTGGCACACTTGGTCCTGTCGCTCTTGTAACCCTCCACCAGGGCGCTGTAGTTTTCTTCAAGCAGTCTGATTAGAGGCCGTATTTCTTGCTTTAGGGTGGAGAAATGGAGTGTGGCATTATGGGCATCCTGGACGAGCTCGTATAGGTCCTGGTTAGAGAGAGCTGCTGTCTGTGAGTGTCCGAAATAAGACGTACTGGATGGAATTGTCGACGAAAAGAGCGAAGAAAAAACGTGATCAAGATGTTGACTAGGGGGACTAGGATGAAACTTACTCTGATTATTTTCGAGCTTTGTTAATCTGCTCTCCATGCGATTGGCGAGACGCAAGTATTGCTGTAAGGGGCCAGCGGCGCCGTTCAGTGCTACTTGCACATTTGCGATTTGACCTGCTGGCTGGGCGGCGCCATGCCGGTTGGGTTGCCTGAGCTTTGTCCGAAGTTAGAGTTGATGTTAGAAAAGCATTGCCTTGCATCGTACGAATGGGTCAATCCTCAAGAGACAAGCCGGCAAGATACCTACCTGTTGGAACAGCGTTCGCAACTCGCCAAGCTGTTGTGGCACATCGACGTTAAAAACATGGTCATCCTGTGCCTCTTGTTGAATATCAACTCGACCATTTCCAAGAGGAGGATTTCCGGAATGCTGTAGATAGGACGTTAAAGAGCTAACGTCAGCCCAGTGCAAGCACCCATGGACCAGCAGAACTATGGAAGTGAAAAATGCGTTCGGAATCTAGAAGCCTACAAAAGGGACTCGGAAGCATCCCTTAACGTCGCGAAAGTGCAACGTATATATGGAATTAGTTCTCTACAAGTGATAGAAATCCACAAAAGAAAATAAGTACACTGACCATGTAATGTATATAGAGAGCCCCTCTATCAATTATGGCTATTCGCGTTTACGTGGATACTATCAGGAGGCTACCACCTAAAGTTTAAGCGGCTTTTAGACCCTCCGCTCCTTCCATAGTACGGGGAAGAGCTTGGCTGTAGCGAAGCTGAAGCTCGTTTCTTGGACCATCTACGACGGCATCAGCTGAAACCGCGTCGAAAAAGCTGGAGATGTCGTTGTAGCTGAGAGCTGGTGGTTTTGCGGGGCTTGACAGGTTTCAATTTGCTGGCGTTCGTCGTCGGTGGTGATACGGACTGTCTAGAAACGAATGAATGTTCTTGCACACACACGAGCACTTTGTCATTTGCAAGCTTCACGATGGCCTGCAGAGCAATGAGATTTCTTTGACAACCTGCTTTTCTTTGACTGGCTCTCTAGTAAGCTGTCCGCGTTTGTCTTTTGCTCTCCGCTCGTACATTCTGCATGTACCTTTCATTTAAATCAATAGCAGAACTGACGCCAAGAGCCCAAGAGCCGCTACTTCCTCACCAGACGAAACTCAAGACTGCGAGTTGTTCAGCTGCCAATTTCGCCATGGCGGGTGAGCGCATTCCGGATTCTGGAAGTTGAAAACTTGCTTTCATTTATCCTTGTGAGGCCAAGTGATGAAGCCTCTTCTCGTAGCGACAACTCCAGGCCTCAATTACCCGGCCGCTTCCTGACACTTTGCAACTTATGACAGTCAAATGTGCTCCTACCCGAGCCAGTCGAAACGGCGTCATTCACAACTGGTCGAAGCACTTCAAAAGACTTTTAATAATGCTTTCTGACTCGTTCAGGTCAACGCCACCAAGTCTCCTTCCAAGAACTGATTGTGGATTTTTCGTATAGAAGGTCGGACGCTCAAGCGTGGAAGCTTCGGGCTTGGATCTTTGCCGCATGTAGCACATCCGCAACGACCTGGGATGCAGTCAAAAGAAATCTGTCGGCGCGGACGGCGCCCATCACAGCGTGACAGACACTGGCAGCCTTGAAACATGCGTTTGCACGTTGTCGGGTGACATCCACAGTCTGCAAAACACCACGTTCGGTTGATGGCGCAGGCGCAGTTGGCTTGAGTATCGTCCAAACCACAGGGGCCCTCATGGTTGCATGAGGTGGGGAATTCGTGCTTGAGAGGATCTCGGACATAGGTCAGTTGTGGTTGAAGTGGTCTCGTACCTCGAGATTGAGCAAGAGAGACCTGTTCCATCTGTCAGATCGAATGATTGTTCTTTTCCTTTCCTGGAGCAGATAGTCGAATGAGTCGCACTGAATTGAGTCATTCCGTAAGGTTTCGATGTGTTGATATTCTGCGCCTCCTTGCGCGCACGTGTCACTGCCAGCCGAGAATTTGACGGTAGTCACGTCTCACGCGTTCCCTCCGTCGAACTAAGGTACTGTGTTTCAGATTTACCAACTGACATACCTGTTATTGGGCAGAATCGCTTGTAGCCAGAATTCAACCCCAGTTGACTCTATTCATTAGGCTGCCAAACAAATCACGCACTTCCCGAGACCGCTGTTCTGAAGACGTGACCCTCTGTAAGAGGCCGGGAATCACGATCAACAGTGGGAATGGACTGTATGATGGCGTGACCGGTTATCCTGATCGGCCCCAGCTGATAATTGCTGGAGGAAGAAGACCAACAGATGCTTCCAATGATTCACTCACACGTAGCGACTCCGTGACCCCCGCCCTCCGAGGTGCGAAAAGTGCATGATGAAGTCTGTCTAATCTCAGCCACATCCCAGGTAGAGGACGAATTCGTCCAATAGACTCAGCTGAGGATCCATAACAGTATGGTCCAGTCAGCATCCTTTGATAGTCGTACCCTTCAGTAAAATCGTGCCGGTTTGTTCATCGTATGCACTTTGCCGATATGGAGTTCCAATTGAGGAGTCGTATGCCAGCGACCAATGAATTCCGCTGCAATGCTTTTCGCTTCGGACATGGCATGATCAATATCAGCGCGTGGATCGAGAAGGCGGATTCATGTCCATCAACATATTGATTGCATCTTGGATATATATCGGCAACTGCAGGGGCTGTGTAAGCCGGTGTTTTCCATGCAGAGGACTCTTCAGCATGACCAACGGAGGCCGCCAATCTTCCGTTCCCTACGTGACCTCGAAATAGTCGTAGCGTTTTTCCGTATTGGTGATTGTGGCCAGCTCGATCGGAGAATCAAAAAGGGCAGAGAGGGAGAGAGACGGAGCTGATCTTATTTCCTGGGATGCCGTTGCATATATGGGCCCCCAATGGGTTAACAACCTTTTGTCACTTCCCTTGAAAGACCCTTCAAAAGTTCGTACTTGCACTGCATTTTGGCGTCCATCTTGATTGTGGGATCAACCAGAAGTTGAAATGTAATCACAAATCTTGGTGTAGGCCTAGTTATGACCCTTGTGTCGTCAATGATGTGTAGATACAGTGGTAAGCACAATGAGTTTACAGCAACAGCCACAAGCCTGCACAACAAGCTTGTACGTTCATCTCCCTCTTCTGGAAACATCACGCCACCAATCTTATCTGCAAATCCAGCATAGTCTAACATACGTTAGCATTTGGTTTCCGTCACGAGATACTACAAAGTGTAGCCTCATGCAAAAAGCTTGTCGGCCAGCTTGGCGGACAAGGGAGAAGAGGCGGAGGTAGGTACATAGCTAAGGATGGAGTAAAGAAGATATGATATTTGTATGAGGAATTTGGCATCCGCTAATATTCATTGCCCATTCCCTGGGAGTGAGTTGGTGAACCAGGTATGCCCAGACTGGAGATCTCGACACATTTGGGCGGCATCTGATCAATGATCTAGGCACTGTCCCAAGCTCGACCAGATCGAAAATCCTTTGAAATAGTCCTAAGTCTTTCTTATCCGGAGGTGACTGAGGCGGAACGGATCTAGACGTTCAGACTTGGTGCTGCTTAGAGAGCTCAATGCAGCATTTCTCCAATCTGTCCAATATCAGTACATACCTCTGTGAAAGTACGTGTACCCACTGTAGTATGACACCTTGATAGAAGTCTTTAAACGCTGCAGTATCAACAGGTTTGGGGTCTTTGTCCTCGTGGAGACATTTAAGTACTGCATCTTTATAAGACACTTGACCTGTAGCATTGGTCAATTCATTCTCGAGGGCTTGTCGCTTATTTTGGGCGATCTCGTCCGCTGTCACTTCACGTCCCAATGCAATCTCAGCAAGCAATACCCCCGACGGTTTGAGGTGCTGACGCACAAACGCGATTTCAACGCAACTTGCAGTAGAAGAAGATGGACTCGAAGCATGCTCAGTGTACCGAACACGGCCTACTCGGACTCGGTTAGAGGATTGCAAACGACAATCCGACCTTCTTCTATCAGTCGCATAGCAGAAAACTCGGCAAGCACAAAGATCGTCGAACCAGTTCGTCCACATGAATAAGGCAGAATACCAGCTTAGTGTCTGCGCAAGCAGTATCCGATGGCGCCTGCGGAAAGAGGTGTGAAGCGATTTCAACGGCCCAATATTGCGCGTCCGAATTTCCTCCTGCAGCGACAAGTCCTCCTGCGTAACGGTAAGTCTATGCTCACATCGCTCTAGCAGGAATGAAAGATCGCCGCGTCCAGTGCCGAACTCGATACCGTGCCGCTTGATGTTACGACACAACGCCGTGCCCGAGTCGAAGAGTTTACCGTTGGCTGGATTTGTGCCCTACATATTGAGTTTATCGCGGCAAGAGACACTTTAGACAAAGAATTCGGTGGCTGCTCAAGCCAGTTCGTGACGAGTGCGCTTCACTGTATCCTGATAAAGGAAAACGATTTCCATCAGGTCAAGGTAGCTATCTCAATGTCGCTGAAAGGCACACCGATGATGGCTTTTGCTGGCTAAACTTACTCTAAACTTGATATGTCCTCGGCAAGTCGTGGTGGGTGTTTGTAGCCACTTCAGGTGATATAAATATGCTGCTTGGAAGCCACGTTCTCATCAACAGTTCGAGAAAGGTGTAATGGTGATTAGACCCTTAAGACTATAATGTCCGCGATGACAATTCCGACAATGTAGTTAATTTCTTTTGGTCCTCGAGCTCAAGAGTTCTTCGTTTCGTTGGATCGTTTCGACATATAGGGTTTCTTCTTGTAGGCTCCATAAAAGGGCCGAAAGGAGCTAGTATCTATAGGGCATTGCTAGTAGTTGGAGTGAAACGCTCCTCCGTAGGATTTATAGTTAGTTAGAGATGGCTTAGTGGACATTTAGCGAGTAAATTTACGCCTAATGAAGAGAATAATAATTACTTAATTTACTTTTAGATACAATATAAAACTTGTCTATTATATAAGAGTCTATAGGATAATTATTTCTATAAGTACTTAAGAAGATCGAGGAGGGGGTCGCTTATTATATAACTTATCTAGATTAGTTGGCCTCGTTGAAGCACTGATAGAGACGTACGGCTGCTCCTCAATGTGGTTAACGAAGTATCAGCAGGTGCGCGTCGGGCTATCTGATTGACGTGATCAATGCCATCGTCTCTATTGGTTTTGGCACGATCTCGGTTGTTGCGTAGACCACCGGCTCCTTTCACGAATGTTTCCCTGTCGTGCGTCGTTTGATATACCCCTATTTGAGTCATATGATACTTGGGTAGAGCTGCAGCGTTGCGGTGCCTTGGTGATAAGTGCACGCTTGAAGGTGAGGCTGTAGGTGCCGCCCCTGCACTCGCCATATCTCGCGCTCACTTCGCGACGCCGCCACGACACACCCCATGGCGGTCCAGGACTCGTGCTGTTGCCGCTCATCTTGACGGTCCCGCGCCCACGCATGCACCAAGGGATGCATGGATCCACGTATATATCCATTGTCCACGGTGGTCGACACCAGCGCGAAAGCTCTTAGGGAATTGACAGCCTCCACGAGCCGAAACGAATCCCACGCCGGCCGGAACTTGAGCAGTCGCTTCCGTTGACGCTCATACACTTTAGGGTACTCCTCTAAAGTGTAGTGACCTCGCCCTATGTACACTCCGGCCTGGATTAGGGCGAGAGGATGTGATGGAGTAAGGTCGCCACCCTCGCGCATCGTCTGCCAGTAGAGGACGTTGGTCGCTAGCAATATCGGCTGCTTTCAATAAGAGTTGTGTCGCCTCATTTGGTGGGAGCCCTTCCAAAGCAATGAAATCGGCGGTGGTATACTGCTTACGTTCCGCATTGCGCGATGTCAGAACCAGCGCGCCAGACGGGCCGGGTGGGAAGTAGGCCTGGTAATCGACGTTGAGGTCATCCGCATTATCCAGCACCAACATCCACGGTCGCGAAATGTTGGCAAGCCCGTGACACCCATCCTCCCACGTCGATGCAGAGATCTGAAGTCGGTGGGCGATGTCGAGAAATCCGTTCTCCACCAAAGACGGCGTGCTAACGTCGACACAGAACACCCCAGAGACTAGTAGGAGTCAGTGAAATCAGTCAATGAAGTCACTCAGCGTGCCAGGGGGTGTGACTTACAACGATCGGACGCGCTGGCGACCTCTGGCGTGATCGTGACACGTGACGTCGCAGGCTGTAAGATCACATGATTTCCGTCCTTGAAAAGGGCGGACTACGGAGAACGAGTAAGCGTCTGCTAGGCGTAAGATAGACACTGGCGCCTACGTTTCACACGATAATGGATTCTATATAATGACACAGAGAACTATGGCAGGGAAAGGATATTGTTTTTACTAGGTATCCACTAGAAGAAGCCATAGTGAAGAAGGCGCTGCGGAGCTATGATACTCCGCCTTCTTGATTCAATAAACTTTTGCAGCCTTGGTAGTCTACCGGGGAAGTGACTAACTGTCTGATGATCTTCTATATATGGTGCGAGTCATGATATGCTGACGAATCAATAGCAAATAGGAATGTCAAGCCGTGGGCAGATGAGTTCCAATCGGTGAGGTTGCTTACTAGTACGAGACTCATCGGCGACCATAGAGCGCTTATCCAAGATTCGAGGTTTTCCAATCAGTTGATACTACATGATCTTTGATTGCTCCATAAGCTCTTAATCACTATATAGCTGCGTGCTCGATATATAATCGCAAACAAACCACAATAAACTTCTAGGTCTGAACTACGAATGCTTCACAATAACTTAGAATTGCGTAACTAGACCCTTCTAAAATAATGTAGTATCTTTTGGATGTAGAAGACTACCTTGGAAGATGCTTATCCTTCCCATGCAGCCACGGAGTTGAGGGCGTATCAATAGCGCTGCGGATCGATCGCCGTGTACGGCGGCACCATGGTCCAGTCGTGCACGCAGGGTGTGCGTACTCCATGAATCATTCCCCGCAGCCACAAAGGCGTCTCGTCAGCTATTCCCTCACGCCGGGTATAGGATAGATTCCAAGACGTGTATAGCGCACGATGCTGATACTCCTGGAGTTGATATGATCGTCGCGGATCAATGTTCCAGCATTTCTCATACTTCTGCAGATACCGCTCGAATGTGGATGTGCTCCGAGACAGACAGGCCCTCGCGGTGGCCTCCAACTCATTCTGCCAGACGTTTTGCAGCAGGATCTAGTAAGATGCAAATCCGGTGGATGGGCAAAACGTTCCGTCATTGTAGCTGTGCAATTGTGGCAATTTGAGTAGGATTGTAGTGCTGGCTTACAAATGAGGACAGAGGCGTGACGTGGATCGTGTCGCCAATCAATCTTTACAAACAATACTCCCATGAGAAAAGCTGTCAACACTATGCGAGGTATCTTGTGATGGATGTCCAAAGGCCTCAAGCGCGTTCCAGTTCAAAAAAGTTATCTCCCACGAGCCTGGTCGCGAAAGGAGCGATTCATGACCTTGCAACACCGAAAGCCAACTTTGAATGCCATTCAAGACATCGCTGGTAGACGACCAGTTGACCAGGACTATGTGAGGGATAAGAGCATGGCCCCGCCAGCCAGCCTTATTCGTCATTCGCCCAGTCACCCCATCCAGGAACACCTCTTTTCTGGAGGTGATTTCCAACGGAGACTTCCAGCACGCTGCAGCCACATCTACAGTGGGATCATGGAATAAATCCCATAGTGATGTGTCGCAGAGTAGAGGTACTGGAATCTCGGGTACGACTGCCCTTGATGGATCATCACGAGGACCGGAATTGCTCTGATCATGTGGAGTTGGCGTTCCACAATCTCGCATGTATTGGCCCCTGGCAAGGTGCAGGGCCGCGGGAGCCGCGGATGGAGACGAGATCGTATTTCTGTCCTTGTTAGGCTCCTCGGCAACCGTTGTCTTTCTCATCTTCTGGAGTACAGAGGATGTAAGGCCCGACCCCACCGACCGTTTCCGCTTCTGGGTCAGAGCACGCAGTGTACTCCCATGTGCGATGAGATTGTTGCGCGAAACCAACTCTGTGTTTGTCTCAGAATCGAGGCCATAGAGAACTCCACGAGAAATGTCGGAAGGTGCAAGGCAACTGGTTGGTTGAGTAGGTTCAAGGATAGCCAACTCTGCAGGCAATCTGCCTTTATTGTTTTGATGATCGCGCTCTTTCAGATAGACAACGCTTTGCTTGGCTAGGCGTTGATACTCATCGAAGTCCAAGGAATCGGCGTAGGTGCGATCGTGATGGATCTTTTGGATCCGAGGGAACCGCAAGGTGAAAAATCGCTCGTTGGGCGGGCGGTCGAATCCAGCTCCCACAACTTCAACAACCGCTGGTTTGGTGAACAATTCTGTCGGTACCTGGAAGACTTCGAACTTATCTCAATGTGGACACCTGAGACAGACTGCGCGAAAGGCACTTGACATAGTTTGCCCTACTCATTGAGATATCGCAGGTCGGCCACTGCGAGACATGGCCGGCTAACCGCACCCACTACTCAGTACCTTGGTTTGATCTCTGACGAGAAGTCGACGTCTTTTTGGTTGAGCATGCCAAATAGAAAGTCGTCCAAGACAGGTCGATGTCTCCCATCATCAACGCTGTAGTGGCATCGCACCGGCCTCCCACAATAACCAAGTCGGCCGAGTCGCCCCATCCAGGGATTTAGTCCTTCTTCAACTTGATCTGGTGGACATCACCGTGCAACGACATATACGGAGCGTTCCAATCCTTTATGACCAGCCCTTCCCAGCCTTTGGCGATCGCCGATGTCATTCCATCGTGAAGTCGACTTATGCTCTTGGGTGTCTCAAATCGATCTGGATCCCTTCACGAATTCGGACTTGGCCCGTTTTACGGAAACCAAGGTCTCTAAGCGGCGTCTTCGTAAGTGAAGTGGCTCGTGAAGACACAAAACATTGTCCAGAAGCAGCACGTCATAGAATATGATCATGAGATGCTCGTCTTCGGATGAGGGAGAGTCTCGCGCACCTCCCAGCTGCCGTCCTTCCCGAGAAACATATCGGCGTATCTTGTAGAATGGCATGATTTGACCCATTTGATCATTCCATACCAATAATTCACCCACCAAGACGCACTGGTCTCTGAATCGGCAAGAGGATGTACCAAGACCCAAGCATCTCTTGATGGCATCGTGCACGCCGACACGATCCATGGTTGAGTCTCGACCGCTCTTGGAGAAGATTGTGATGTGATGTTGAGAATTTGTGCGACTGACGTGGATCTGACAGTATTCGCCGTCATACTTCCTCTCCACATTGATTTCTTTGTGACCGGCCAACTGGCAGCAGTGCTGGATGCTACGCGCCTTTTCAAAACCTTGGAGTCCGATCATCATCCCGAGACGGGGCTCAATTTCCGCGCGTGCCGATTCTTTCAGCGATCTCTCTAGGCTGGGTGGCGGAGATACAGGGAGCTGGCTGATCGTGTCGCCCTCTAGTAGTTGGACTGCACCGGATAATGATGTGCGAACTTTGAGGAGGTCAGGCATGAGAAAGTGGAATGCCCGCAAAGTCCTTGTGACCGGTATCTCCACCGGACATAAGCTTTTCAGGAGCAGGCGAATCATCCATTTCACTCCCACGCTGGGCAATCGTCGAAGAACACGCACCAGTTCGTCGAAGACCTCCGTGTAGCCAAAGGTGATGGATTCCCGAAGCTTCGGTGATGAGAAAACACAAGTCGATGCCAATCTATCCAGCGTATGGTCCACCTCGTCAACAGTGAGTGGTTGGGGAGGGTTCGAAAAGTCGTCCGTTGCCGAAAGAACCTGCTGGACCGCAGAAGCGAAACCCATCCTATCACGCCCTTGCAGACGCCGCAATTCGGAGACACGAGTGTGACCCAAGCAAGCCGCTTTGGTGACCATGTGTTCGAGCTGTTGTGTCCGCAACGCGTATACTCGGTCAGCCCGTTTCTCTGGAAACAAGCAAGACAAAAGAGCCAGAGCAGGGGCTCCTCGACGTCGTATGTGACTTTGATGTTGTCCGAACCATTGTTGAACGCTTAATTCACGGCTTTCGAGATCTCTCAGGGACGACAGCTGCTCGAAAAGCTGACAGATGTCGAGAAATTGCAGTGACATGGTGGCCAACGAAGAACTGCCAAAGCGATGTGTTTATCAACAGGCACAGGGTACTTCACTATGTACAAGTACGTATTGGTTGTGCAGGGAGTGGCATGCTTGGCTATTGAATGCGGTCTGCCTGAAGACCTGTCCTGGTGGGCTCGTCATGGTCAGCCTACTCATCATACGACTCCCAAGTTGGCCAATAAAGCGCTAACGGAATCCCTGCACGGCAGACAAGCTGAGCCATGTTCGACCGGTGTGAGAACGGATGGGGACTGGCCTTGTTCAGGACTGGTTATAGGGCAGACTTAGAATACGCCAAACCACATCTACGCAACCTGAGGCCTTGCGTGGCAGTGACCCTACATCATCACGGTCCTAGCTGCGGCGTTTACTTTTCCTGAATCCCGCCGTGCACCAATGAACCACCAATGAGGGAAATGGCGGGCTACTTGACCTGCTTTCCAAATGAAAGTAATTGACTCGATAGGTTTCTTACAGAGGACACGCAGGATAACAGGCTCAGTGCATGATTCCTGACGAAGGATGGCCCAGTATGTTACAGAAACCAGGTTTGGTTCTTCCATTATGTCTGCGCATTATCTCAGGGGGTGAAAGCAGCTCGAAAAACTCACACTATGGAGACATGGAAAAGGCATAATGCCGACTGCGGTCAGAGCTGAGGTAGTAAGGGATGTAGTAAGGGGGTTCGATGTAGTAAGGGGGTTCGATGTAGTAAGGGGGTTCGATGTAGTAAGGGGGTTCGATGTAGTAAGGGTGTTGAACTCCCACAGCGTCCTCTGTGGTTTTACCAGATCTGGATGGGGTGCCCAATACTTCGAGGTTGCCTTTGAATCTATCCAGGGTATCAAAGGCAGTCGCCTTGGTTGCCGTCACAGACTTGGCTCCTGTTGTGTCTGTCATGTGGTGCCCGCGGACGCGCAACCCTTGTGATGATAGGCATCCCGGTTCTGCCTTTCTGCATCCTTGCCACACACCACGCGCAGAGGCGCTAGGCAAGGGGGTCCAAGGGGAGCCATATCCAGGCTATGCTTCCAGCTGATTGCTGCCTTCATCACGGGCCCCATCCCTCGTCAGCCGCCGCGAAGATGTCTGTATAACCTTGTCGTTCGTGACATCGACCGACATGTAGAAGGCGTCGGGCACGCGCGTCTCTGGGCTGCGGTGCCTGCAAGATCAATTGAACTTTACTTCTCCGGTGGAGACACCAACCACATAAACTCTCCGGTGATTTCATCTTCTGATGCCTGTTCTTCTCATAGGCTGTAATTCGCTGACAGACACGGTCCGACTCCTCGACACAGATACAATTGAACATATGCCTTTAGAGAGACAGCTCAAGGGGGCGGTGTCATCTATTATCCACCCCTCGAACAGCAGGATGATTGCTCTTGCCCTATCCCAACGAACCCGTAGCCTTATGGCTAAGCGGAAGTAGCCACTGACACGCGTGGTTCAACTTCCGGTGGCGGATCGGCCAATGGAAGTTGTGTTGTGGTCGTTGCACATAATCTGGAAGAGACCGCCTTGCGTTTCGAGGGTTTTGAGATCCCAGCCGAGACATTTGCACTAAGGATGGACCGTGTTTGTGTATGTCTTCTCTGGCGCGGCTGCGGCTGTACTTTCTGGCTCCGAGGCTCTTTCTTGTTCTCCGGGAGATTTAAGAGATATGATGCTACACAAATGAATGGCGCTCTGCCACTGCAAGATTTTGATTGCATGCGCACTTATTCGAGGAGTTTCAAGATCATTGCGTGGTCCGAAAGTGTTCAAATCATCAGAGTGTGGGGATCAGTAAGGGTTTAGCGAACTTCGGATACAATGCATTCGACATCGGAATCTCGACACGAGGACATTACATTTCCATCAGACGACTCGAGGATGAATTGAGTTCCACTCAGGCAGAAAGAGACAATCGTCGGCGAGAGACGACGCAGCTGTTCACCACGAATAAACAGCTGGAGGGGAAATGAATGAGGGGGACAGGGAAGTAAAGCAGGCGCTCTCGGCATTCTTTCCACAAGAGTTGGCGTCGACCAAGGACCAACAACCACAGCATGGACAGCTTCGTACGGCGTGTGCAGGACATAGCTATCGGCGACAAATATCATTTCGTGCGAAAATTGGGATCTGGTTCTTTTGGCAATGTGTATCTAGGTATGGCCGCATCGATGTCACCCACGGCTTGACACGAGATCTGACGATTCAACTGGCCGTGATGCCGAGACAGGCGACGAAGTCGCCATGAAGAGGCTCAGATATACTCTTGGAAGCGTTCCTACCACGAACAGATCATTCATCGGTTATATGATAACCGTCCCCAGCCAGAAATGGTTACGGACAGCGATATCTTAACCCAAACATGTTGTACGAAGCTGCCACATGAACCAGTGTTCCCTCTGAACATTCTCAACTCTACCACGATACTTTCCGCTGTACGATTCCGTCTAAGAGGTGTGGGATGCGGCTAAGAGCAAGCCATTTGAGAATGATGGTCTCGAACCGCCGATGTGACACCAAAATCATCAAGTAGGCTTACTGTCTCGGTAAACATCGGGCATACGTTGCTCTGCGCGACTCTCGGCACGACAACACGCTTACACAGAGGCCCAACGGATGAGCGATCCCTCAGTGGGAGCCGATACACCATGAAAGAAGAGCTTGAACGCATTGGCTTCTTGAGCAGCAACTCCGCATCGTTCGAAGTGGAGCGCTTGCCGTGAAGACCAGGCTGATCTTTTGCTCTTCCGCCTGATTTCCTGGACTACGAGCATCAAACAAGCTATAGAAATGGGCAGGTGATTTAGGATGTGCGGGTGATTGTTGGCGCTGTGCACCGGGCAGACGATCAGACTCTGAGGACTAGAATGTTTTGAATGGTGCCGGTTAGAGCAAAGGCTATAAAGTAAAGGACCGGAAAGCCGTAAAGACCGCGAAGGCCGAGAAGCCATCCTTAAGACAGCCAGTGTAAAGTCACAGTTTGAGGGTCTTAGCACACAATGATGTCAATGCTTGTCTCGATGGCACAGCTGAGCCCCTGCCGAAAGAGCGCGAGCTTCAAGCGCTTTATGCTTGATGCGTTAATTGACCATTGCAATTTAGGCTCCGGCAAAACGGAATCATTCAATGACTTGCTTTGCAACCAGTCCAAGGCCTGTCCTACTTCGACGCACTCTACTTTTGCTACCTCAGTTTGTTGGCGATCGCGTACGGCGCGCTGGCTCTCCCATGTTCTTCTGCTAACTGCCCTGCTCTCAGCCCTCAGACTTCAGGCCTTGTTGGCATGCTGGTGCCGAGGCGAACAATCAGCCAGAAACTATTTTTGATCTTCATGGACCATTGCTCCCAATATCCTTTATGACCGAAAAGCTTCACGGTTGCTTCCTCAAACCATTGCAGTAATCCTGTACAGCAGGAGAGAACATTATATCAAAGATGGATCGAATAGCTATGTGTCGGGTTTCTTCCGCTTGGGAAGCAAGTTCCCAGCAAAATTAATTTTATATGATCTGTCACAAATGCACAGATGCACATGGTGTCAAACTTTGTGATCTGCCCACTATGCAAGGAGCTTTGATGGCTGTAGTGCCATCCAATCATCAAAGAATGGTGACTCTTCATGCATGACCTATTAGCTAGCCCAACATGGTTGATACAACGTCTCATGCTCGCTCTCAAGCATGAAAGCACCCTCAGGTTCTTTATTTGACTCCGTCGCCTCCCATACTTAAAGAAGAAATATTGTTCTACTGTTTGTGTTCCACAATGTATCACCATCTCGGTAACGATGTGGTTTGTTACATCTATAACGACGTGTCATTTATGCAGCCACCCGGGACTCTGTGCCACATATGCAAGGAGGTTTGAATCAATTGAAATCGACCTGTTCCTTTTTGGATGAGGTATGTGGTTCATAAGTACTGCCCATTTTCCAGGTGCCAAATGTCTTCCTCACTCACTCGAGATTTTCCTGGGCCTTTATGATGCAGTCTGATCTTGACCTCCAGTCTTCATACTTCGGGTTTGTCGACACCCACGACGATGCCGTGATGCTGATCCAGGCGTGCGTCCGAGGCAGTCTGCAAGTGATCAAAAGACGACCTACCGCGTCAGAACAACCTTCTGTCGCGCAAAGCGGACACGTCTTCATCTATGAGGAAAAAGCATCCGGCATTCAGCGTTGGACTGATGGGCGGCATTGGAGCCCGAGTCGCGTCTTGGGTGAATTTGGAGAGCGATCAGCTACACAAAATCAACCACACACCACGGAGACTGACAAACCACCTCTGCTGGTGAGGGATGGCATGGACGATGGGCACCCACGGCTTTATGGCCCACTGGTGAACCTTAGGCACATCGAACCCGGAAGCCTGATCAAGAAAAGCATCACTGTCAAAAGCAATGACGACTCTGGCGCAATTTGGCACTTGGTGTCTTACTACCGGCCTGTTGATGTTCTCCAAGGCCGGTTGCAAACTCCAACGATGAACCAGGACCTCATTTTGGAACCGTGCCACCCACCAAGCAATCCAATACCGTACGGAAACTTGTACAACGGCCACCGAGCTGGGGAAAGCGGATTATCGCCGACGACGCACCTCTGGGCTAGTTCCCATCATGCTCAACCAGACTGGCCCATGCTGAAAGAGTCTGACCTTTACCACATCGATTCGGACCAGGATCCGTTTTCAGAACTTGTGATTTTCGATAACGCTGACATGCCGTGGTCAATCGATAGCCCGTTGGATCCAAGTCTGCTCCGGTATGGCATATGCAGTGCTGACGGCAGCTTTATCTGGTAGCGCCTCAATCTAGACCGCTGTGGCTAAGATACGAGATGCGGAAGGCAGAAGAGAGGCATCAACGGCGTTGGAATTGAGATGGATGGCTTCCGGAGGAGGGTATGGCTTGATGCTGACGGTCCCAGCAAAGGTTCAGATGATGGTCAAGCCAATCAATAATCAGAGCGATTTCTTCATTTGAGAAACCGAGGCACCCTTGTGGAATGCATGCTGACGGGGCTTCGGGATTTCATATGCCGTTTCGGTCAAAGGTTGCAGAAGTGACCTAGGGGGGCCTAGGAACAGGTCCCGCAAAGGCCTGACAGTGCAATTCTTGCGTCCCGCCATATTTAGACACATTTACTGTAGTGTAAAAATAGCTTCTGAAGATTGTGATTGAGGATGCTCGGAATTGGCCTTGTCAATCTTTTCGGTCATTGATGATAAGACGTTGAAGTCGACCGCCATGAAAGTCAACCATGTCTCGCTAGCGGCAAGATCAGCAGGAGCGGGTGCGTGATGCAGTTCGGTAATCTACGGAATGATAGTTCCTTCGGCACAAAAGGAAGTTGGTCCCAAACTGAAAACAAGCAAGCTTGACATGGAGTACAGCTGGCATATTCAAGAGTGACTATGTTGCTACGTATTTCTATGTAATATACTATGAGCCGTTCTAAGCGATGATCCCCGATCGACTAGCAGTTTTACCTTTGATGAGTAGGCAAGTATGACGCGACGCTTCTGCTTACAGAGGATGAGACAGCGAGGCTTTTAGCTTGAGTGTTGCAATATATGAGGTCTAGGTTATAGATTACCTGGTTCGCTTGCTATTTTCTATTAAGTGAAAGTCATCAATCCACGACTGATCACAGTGCGGTCGCGTCATAATATCATGGTCATCAAGTTTCATTAGAGGCAACCCTTGTGCGCGACTCGAACGCCCCAGTAGGTCAAACAAGCTTCCACCGAGAAACTATCCCCGTGAGCCGATATTCCCAGATAGCGAGACGGAATCAGTTATACTCACATTCGGTCATTGGCTAGCAGCTTGTTCTCCTCAATGAACCAGTCTCGGGTCACCAGCCCGAGAGCCGACCAACCGAATTTGTCAGCGAATTTGAGCCATTGTTGGCCGGCTTCGATTTGCCAGTTTCCGTTTGTAATGGTTCCACCGAACGGCATCAGGTTCGTCGGAGTCGATAAGGCCACTCCTGGTCTTGTTCCTCCCCCGAAATCGAGCAGGAAAGGCCACGTCCCAGATATGCTGGATCAGAGACACATAAGCCTCGGCCTTGTATGCCTTGTTATTCCGGCTGAATCCGACAGCAGCGGGAGCAATACGAGACCGACCTCAGATAGCACGTGGGTTAGTGTCCTTTGAGCGGCATTGAAGCGGCAAGACCGCTTCGCCACGTTGTTGTGGCTGGTGGTTGAGTGGGTCGCTGTCATTTCTTAGCATTTACGTGACACCGTACTCGGTCCGGTCCTCGGCTGTTTGTGGATCTGCGAGGAAGTACCGGACAGGGGTTGAATCCGCACAAGAGGGCAGCACAGATCGTGGACAACTATAGTTATTGACGTAACAACTGGTCCTCCGATGCATGTGCATTGGCATTTCATTTCTACCATACGGAATAGGCAGCAGAGCCGTTATTGTCGTCTCCGGAGAGACGGAGTGGTTTCCCTGATTCGATGGTGAGCAGATGAAATCAAGCCGTGGAAAGGCTAGTTCTTTGTATTTATGCACCTGTGTGCAGGTCGTACCCATCACGGAGTCTTCTCATCTCCTCGGTACCAGATACCTGCTTTAAATTGTCCCTCGCAGAAGCGACTTCCTGGTGCGCCATCCTCATTAACGCTGCCTTTCTCTTTGACCTGCTTTGTTTTGCTGCTCGCAACGCCTCCTCGGCTGACTCCACTCTAGATTTCGCTTTCGCCACTTCTTTCTGTGAGGCTCTAATTTCGCTGAATCGACTATGCAGAACCTGAGTATCAGTAATAACATCGATCAGTCGTGCTTTGGCATCTTCGAATTCCTTCTCCCTGACAAGTAGATTCGCATGTGCCGGCGCAACCCGTTTCTCGCAAGCTTTGAGCCTTCGATAGTAGACTGCCCGAAACTCATTCCAGTCTTCCAGTCGGTTCTGTTGGTGTCGGTCCTCGAGCACTCGAAGGTCGTATCTCCATCTCGCATTTGTTTGACTCTCACGAACGGCGTCTTGGTAGTCTTGAAATCGGTTCTTTGGGATGTAATAAGTCCGCATTTTGTCCTGCATTTCCCGGAATCGCCTCCACTCTCCATGAGTTGAGTAAAGAATACTGTGTAATACCTGCCCGCCCCATGCCGGGCTGGGGTTGGGCATGGGCATGCGCGTGCGCACGATCGTACGACATGGCAGGCAATCTGACAAGGAGACTGATACACCGTTCTAATATGGCGAATGACATTAGTAGAGTATCGTGCAAGTTTCAAGAACACTTGCCGAATACAATTCATGCAAAGATTCTGACTTGTGAGAACGTTGACTCACAGCTGAAGAGGAAGCGAAGGCGTAGCTGCACCATATGACAATTCAGCCGTACGCCTGACCGGTTAAGCGCCTGCGCCTGGCTGGTGTTAAAGGTGCTACTTCCATGTGAGCCCACACAAGTGGCAGAATCTCTTAGACTGTGTCGGGAGCCACGCCTTGCGTTGTCCAACCTGTCCGACGGCCTCCATTGTTGAAGGGTCACTCATTGGTGCAATGTTCAGATGTGGTTAGGGCTGTGTTTGAGCCGTGTTAAAGATCTTTGAAGATGATGTTGGCCATGCTTAAGATGTAACAGAAGTTTGTGTCAAAAGACATAGTGATGCAGGATTGTGATGTTATGGCGATGTGGTGGCGATGGAAGAGGGCAGGCAGAGCAACCGATATACGTTGAGCAATCCCTTCGGCACGAAACGAAACTGTCCCTAAACTTAGATCAAGCAAGCTTAACATGGAGTACTGTACAGCTGGAACAGTTGGAGCGACTACGTTTGCTCTGCATTTCTATGATTATACCATGAGCCGGTCGAAGCACTGATCTCCGCTCAATTGACAGTATTGCCTCTAATGAGTCAACAGCCATGACGGGCAGTTCCTGTTCACAGAAAGAGGCAGCGAGGCTTTTAGCTTGAGTGTTGCAATACACAAGATCTATTTCTCAGATTATCTGCTTCACGCTATTTTTCATTCAAGTGAAAGTCATCGAACCAGGACTGATCGCAGTCCGGCCGTGTCAAAATATCATGGTCATCAAGTTTCAACAGAGGTAATCCTTGTGCGCGATTCGAATCCGCCAGCAGGTCGAACAGGCTTCCACCGAGAGTCTTGTTCAGCTGCCGCAAAAATCGTCCTTTCACAGACTCTAATTCATCCAACAGTGTGCCGAGCTCCGATGCTGCCAAGATCTCTTCGAATCTATTCCCGTCAGCCGGTTTGTCCAACTAATGACAGACAGAATCAGTCACACTCACATTCGGTCATTGGCTACCACCCTGTTCTCGTCAATAAACCAGTCTCGGGTCACCAGCCCTAGAGCTGACCACCCGAATTTGTCGGCGAATCTGAGCCATCGTTGGCCGGCTTCGATCTGTTTGCCCAGTTTTCTTTTGTAATGGTTCCACCGAACGGCATCAGGTTCGCCGGAGTCGATAAGGCCACTCCTGGTCTTGTTCCTCCCCCGAAATCGAGCAGGAAAGGCCACGTCCCAGATATGCTGGATCAGAGACACATAAGCCTCGGCCTTGTATGCCTTGTTTGTTGATGTCCGCAGGGACAGGCGTGAACCATCTTCGTCGTGCCCTAGAAGGCCTCTGTTCGCGACCGTATCGGAATACAGTCTGGCCAGTCGAGCCAACGCGAACCTTCGTAGATAGCTGTTCAAGTTATCCGCTGTGTCGACACTGTTGACGGCACTGACAAGGGCTTTAGGGTCTTGGCTGAACACCCCAGCCATGGTGGCTCTTCCATCTCGCTGCATGAAGGTCATGACCTCTTTCAATGCTCCAAAAGCATGGCCATTAGCACCGCCAGCACCATCTTGACTAATGTATTAACACGACCGGGAGACACGCCTTGCTGAGGCCTGCCATTGAAGGGTGCGGAAGGCAGAGAAGCAAGTCTCCGCCAAACTCGAGTAGCTTTGATAGAACGGTTGGCATGTTTCTCTTGCGGAGCATAAGACTCCCTCTTCATATCCCAATCATCCCAAAACGAGGAGTCTATGGAGTGATTCATCGCTGATGGTCGAGAGGACCTGGACTGTGCCTCCAGTTCGTCCGCGTCATGCAATCTCATTCTTTTGCTACTTGGTGTCCGTGTCGGAGTGTCAAGCTGAGGTCTTTTCCTTGACAGCCTTGTCGTGGGTAAAATGGGCGCTCTTTTCGAATGTCTTGCGCGCAATGTTCTGTTTGTACTGTCGTCCTCCTCCTCGATTTCACTCTCCTCCTGCTCGACTTCCTCCTGCTCGACTTCCTCCTGCTCGACTTCCTCCTGCTCGACTTCCTCCTGCTCGACTTCCTCCT